TGTGTGTGTGTGTGTGTGTGTGTGTGTGTGTGTGTGTGTGTGTGTGTTAAATTCCCCCGTCTTCAGTGAAAGTGTGTGCTGGGATTAGAAAGGACAAGTGAGATGTGAGACGTGTGTGTTCGCTGAAGTGAGACAGCAGAAGGTTGGCCGTCTCCAAAGTCAATAATGGATGAACGAGTTTATCTCTGCTCTGAAGTTGCCAAGCAACTTCCTGTGTTGAATTTCACTGCTGCCGTATTCACTCGTTCATCACTGACAAAGCGAGAGATGCTTTTTGAAATTTCTGATTATAGAAAAAGGATACTCTTAAACAGCACACGTTTCTGGCCTTAACCTCCTTGACTGAGACAGAACTACAAATGGTTTGTTCCTGATGAGTGTGTTTTCTTGGCTCATCGTCTCTCAGGTACGTGCATGGTGATCGGCTGCATGATCTATCCTGACGGCTGGGACTCGGACGAGGTGAAGCGCATGTGCGGCCAGCGGACGGACAAATACACCCTGGGCAACTGCACCGTGCGCTGGGCCTACATCCTGGCCATCATCAGCATCATGGACTCGCTCATCCTCTCCTTCCTGGCCTTCAGCCTGGGCAGCCGGCAGGACAAGCTGCTGCCCGAGGACTTCCAGGTGGAGGGAAAAGGTATAAGGCGAAGGGGACATGAATGAAGTGGACAGGTTGGACAGTGTGGACGCTCCACTGATTAACTATAAAACAGTTTGAAATTAAAGTAACTGCTTTTTCACAGAAAATGGTGTGAACGCTGAGTGCTGAATGACAGCCGAAATCTGCTGAAGAAGCTGAAACTGACTTAGCAAAGCTAAAGGAAAACAATGCTAAGAGATCAAAGGAGCAACTAGCTAAAAAAAAAATAAGGGCTAGTTAAAGTAACAAAAGGCTAGCTAGAAGCTAAAATTAACTACACAGAAGATAGAAGTGAAAAGTAGCAAAAGGTTATCTCAAAGCTAAAACTAGCAAATGAAAGCTTAAAGTAGCAAAACACCATCTAAAAGCTAAACGTAACAAAAGGCTAGCTAAGTAGCAAAGCTTGAAGCAAAAATGCCAAAAAAGGTAGTTAAAGGCTATAAATCCCAGCTAAAAATGGTGAAAGTTGAAACCATCAAAAGGCTAGCTAAAAGTAGCAGAAGGCTAGCTAAAAGCTAAATATAGCCAAAGCTAAATGCTAAAAGTAGCAGAAAGGTAACCAAAAAAGGAGATAAGACTAAAATAGAGCAGGTATATAATAACAGGAGGTATGCTAATAAGGCAGATTCAGAAAGAAAAATTAACTGTAGGAATCTCAGCGTATTTCTTTGGAGAAAATATTTGAGCATAAAATTAAATATTATGAAAAGTACAAGTTAGAAGTAGCAGAAGGCATAGCACGTGCCCACTGAATGAGCTGAAGGTTTAGATTTATGATCAAAATTACTCCAGACCCTTTTCTTGTATGGTTGCCAGAAAGGTTCTTATAAACGTTGTTAAAAGTAGATCACACCATTGATTATAGATTACTGTATAGTCATCTTCAGAGCTGATCATTTTGATTATTATTACTTTTCTTAATTACAGATAACGCCTGATGGACAACAGTGAAGGTGGTTCAGGTTTTCAGGAAGTACAAGAGGTTTGATGAGAAGTGCTCCGAGGCTTTGTGACACCTGGTGATCTGAAATCTACAAGTCGGTTTCCTGCAGATATCCTCACAAATATTTTATTACTGAGAAATGGTCTAAACCAGGGGCAGAAGACATTTTTTAAAGTGTTCATTATTTTTATTTATTGAATGTTCAGATTTTGACTTGAATGAAAAAACACACAGGGAGTTGAAGCGTGTGCACCGAATGCTTCATCACACGTAAAACATCACTTTTCAGTTCTTTATTATATAAAGCAGTTTAAAGGTAACGGACCAGCATGCAGTGGGGTGGGCACATGTTTGTATGTTGCTGCCGTGGAATAAACCGTCATAAAAGGAAAATCATCTGGACAATGAACGTATTCGCCTACAAAAAAAAAACCTGTTGCATCAGTAGCCTTTGTAAAAATCTTAAGTTGGCAATAATTGCCACCACAGTGACATTTACCCAAACATGACCAGATCTCAGTCAACGCTCAAAGGGTTTCACAACATATGGAGATAAAAACACAAGCAGCTTAATAATAATATAGCACAATTATATTTTTCTAACATTGTGCAGCTGTACTCGAGTATATGAGATTAGACTCAGATTAGACTAAATAAAATGAGCTTGAATTTTGTCATGTTTGTTTGCTACGGATGCTTGGTGATTGGAGATGGTCGACATAGCTTCAGCAAAGTTCTAGAACTCGGTCAGATCTACAAACATCGAGCTAAAATTGGATGGCGTAGTAGCTGAGAGTCACCCCAACAGCTGCTGAGAGCACTAAAGATCACACGAGGCAGCTGAAGATTATTTTCGAGGTTTAATTAAATGAACTTTTTTAGCTTTTGAGCTCATTTTGATGTATTTATATTGATGTGAAATATAACAAGTCTGAAATATGCCCTTTTAAAATAAAATTCATTAAAAAAAAAAAATCACTATAATGGTGTTATTTCTGAACACGAGGACGAGTTTAAAACCTTGACATGAAAGGCGGTAAACGCATTCCTTCAAGTAACGGAAGGTGTTTGACTTTTAAAAGTATTTTTCCTGCTTTCTTCTTTCAGACGGAAGACGTCAACATAAAGTGTGCGTTACTTTGTCTCGAGGAACATCCAACTTATTCAAGCCGTGGAGACGCTGGTTAAAAAGTTTGGAAGGTTTTGGGCAGTGCAATGTTTTAAAGACCTTCGCCTTTCACGCCAGATTATTAAATTGAGATTATTTTACGTAGCGAAATGATTCAATTATGCGTCTTTTGAACTGATGACACCCAGCTGAAGCGCCGTTAAGGCCATCGTCATAGGGCCATGAGGTGCTACTGGTGTTTTTCCAGCCGACTGGACCGATTTTGACCTAGGCGGGTTTTCCACCTCATGCATAAGCATCCTAACTTGCACGAGTTATTGGATCAGTGATAAAATCAACGAACGTGGGGGAATGTAAAGGTCATGGATGTTTCATTTACTAATGTCAAATTGAAATAGGAACCATGCATGTGCAGGGTCTACGCAGAGAAGCCTGATAACTGACAGCTGATACTCTGACACCTTCAAGAGACGTGCTGTGAAGCAGAGGTCGTCTTGACCGATACCATTTATAAAAACACACTTCTTTATTAGTGAACAAATCCTGGCGTGATGCGACATCCTGTATGCCGGTTTTCAACCGCTGCTCCTCTTGTAGGATTAAAAAAAAAAGAGCTTCTGGTTTTCCTTGCATGGCTCATTTATTTAACGAGTTGATTGGATAATTAAATTATCCAATAGTATATTTGGTTGCATTAGTTCTTAGTGTACTAGTTTAACAAAAACTTGCTAGAAGTCCTTCAGAGTTCACGTTCAGTCTTTGCTTGTACCGTGTTTTTGCCAACTAGTGCCCGTTTGTTTTCCAACTAACCGTATTAATCAGCCACAAAGCTTCACTTGTGGATGCAAAGATCCCAGTAAGGATCATCGTAGAGCCACGAGGTGTCCGGCTGCGCAGGTTTTATTCCTACGTGAAGCAGTTAAAAAGGACGGGTATCAAATGTTTTGTTCTACCTTCCTCCGTTCTTCTCGTACTCGTCTCCTGAGCTCGTTTGCACGGTAGCGTGCAGAACAGCTGAAACTGGCTCGGCCTCTCTCGGCTACAACAAACAACTCGTTAAATCAGCCGACGTCTGACGAGACCAGCTTTTAAACGGGTGCGACCTAAATCTCATAACTGCTCCGTCTTTGACCGTACCTTGAACCGGTATTAAAAGAGTAGTTTAAACGTACGAGGCGAACACCAAATGTGAAAACAATGTTTATTCTTAATACTTTCACAGAAAAGTCAACAAAAGGAAGACATGAAGAGACTTGTATTAAAACAACGCATGACGGCTGGGATGAGATTCGTCGTTACATTATTTAAACTTTGTACAATCTTTTGTTATTTCAGAACATCCATGTGAAGCTGAACACCTTGCACACTTTATTTATTGCCAGATGGTTCAAAGCATTTAAAATGAGAAATGTTGTTATAAGCCCTTCAGATTTCACGTTCAATCGTCACTTGTTCAGTAACTGGGCCAACACAGTTCTTTGGTTCACGTTACTGGAGGGGCGAGGATGACTACAAGAAGTCTAACCAAACAGAAATATTTCTGTAGTCTGCCAGCTCATGCATTATGAACAGAAATAATCCAGCATTTGTTCTTGTGTCATACCAAATACCTTTTTTAAACAAACTCATCCAAAACCTTTAAAAAAAACAATCATTTACATGTTAACTTTCACTGATGTTTGAACATCTGGTTTCTAATCGAGGTGCTGTCTGTGTACAAACGTAGAAAGAGGATCGCTGCATTTAAGATTACAGGCACTGACGTGTAATCTTTAGCGTGACGGAGAACTCAGCTGGTCTATTTTGCACGAAGCAGAACCGACCTCGGGGCACGGTTTGAAGCTACAGTATGAAAGCTGGCGCACGTGACGTGGTAAGTTAACAGATTTGACTCACCGGTGGCTTTAAAAAGGACATTTTTTTAATGGTTTTCTGACAGAACTTTTTGTATTTGTATAAAAAAAAGTGCAAATGTATTTTAATTTTGACAACAATGAGCAGTAGAGAATTAGCAGCAGTCTGAAAAAAAAATAAAGTTAAATTTCTAACTTTTTAGTTAACCAGTAATTTTTTGAAATCTGTAAATACAGAGTTAACCTTAAGCTTCTTAAATAAACACCGAAACCTTAACAAGACTGCAGTTTCTCTCTCCGTTGTCTGGATGTGTGCAGGCACAATGAGGCTCTTGGAGAGTGTATTTGTTTACTGTGAGTTTTCTTCTGGAAACCTAATTCATTCTTTCTGAATATGAAGAGCGGCGACCGTGCGTGGCCTCTAGGACGCGAGCCATGGGTGGGAGAGACACTGCGCTGCTGTGGCCCTCCGCTCAGGCACCAGGTCCAGCATGGGCAGCAGAAAGCTGCTGAAACAGTGCGCCTCCTCTTTGGACCACTCGTACTTTTCTACCAGGACGTGAAACAGACCCCACGGCTTCAGCTTGGTGATGTGGCGCAGGTCGCCTGGGAGAAACACGTTTTAAACATCCAATTAGAGCGGAATCATAAAGAGAGAAACTCTGAAGCTTGCGGCTTCGGAGCTGAGCACACGGCTGTTCCCGAGCTGCCGTGCGGTTCTCACCAAGTACAGGAGCACATTTCAAAGTGGACGTGGAACAGCTGGTGGCAGGCGGGCGCGCTTACCTTTCTTGGTGAAAAACTCCTTGGTGTATTTTCCTGCCAAGATCAGCTTCCGAGGAACTTTTCCCAGCAGCTCAATGATAAGCGCTATGTGATCTAAAAAAAACAAACAAAACCAAAACAAACAGAATTATAGGAAATATAAGAAGGTTTATGTGGGGAAAAGGCACCAGCATTAATAGTAAAGACCAGAAAGATAGAATTACTTTAAAAATGCCCTTTATTCATTTAATATTTTAAATTTGACACTTTTTAAAGTCTTTGTTAAATCTGACACTTTAATTTTAGGTCGTCTTTTACGACAGAACTCGAGTAATTTATTTATTTATTTTTTTTATTAGATATTACGGCAGCACTGACCTTCATCCCTGGAGTAGTCTTCTCCAGAGTGGGGTTCAAAAAGATAATCTCCAGTTGCGAGCTCAAAGGCCTGAGGACAGAAGAACACATGGTGCAGGAGTATCAGAGAAACTGAGACGTTTATTTTCTAAACACAACGTCCCAGTGGCTTTTAAACCCCAAAATACATTAAAAACTGGTTCATCCCAAAGATCCAGTCCCCCGGCACAAACAGAGTAAATGGTAAATGGACTGTACTTATATAGCGCCTTTCTATCTTATCGAGATACTCAAAGCTCTTTACAACAATCTGTGCCTCATTTACCCATTCATCCAGCTCTATACTAGATCTCTACAAAGCTAAATGAACAAATCATTCTAAAGAGACTAATCAGAGCTTTATCACATTCATACACTGATGGGACACACATCGGAGGCAGTGAGAGGTTCAGTGTCTTGCCCAGGGACATTTCGGCATTTGACTGCTGTTGGATTTGAACCCCCAACTCTCGCATTGGAGGACGACTGCTCTAACCACTCAGCCACAGCCGCCCAGTAATATTGTGTATGCTGTTCAGTGTCAGGAAGGTGATCAGTCTTACATCGGGGAAACTAAACAGCCACTGGCCAAAAGGATGGACCAGCACAGAAGATCAACATCATCAGGCCAGGACTCTGAGGTCTACACTCATCTCCAGGCCAGCGGTCACTCTTTCAGGGATGAAGATGTTCACATCCTGGACAGAGAGGAACGATGGTTTGAGAGAGGAGTAAAGGAGGCCATCTTTGTGAAGAGAACCTGTCCATCATTGAATGGGCGGGGCTCTTTGTGTTCAACTGTCCCCCAGTATCACTCAGCCCCCTGTGAATAGTAAGCGACCATCAGGGCACTAATGATCAGCTGATCGCTGATGGTCCTTTATCATGTGGATGTCACCAACAAACTGGTTGATCCACTATGAGAAGGTGCCGTTTATAAGACTGAATTTGTTGCAGCTCCTCAGACTGATAAAAGTATTTTGGATAAAAGATGAAATGTTTTAATAAGAATCTGTCCAGAGGACCAGATTTAACCTTTAGATTTTTCTACCTGGATTATTGAGCATGCATCAGGAGATTTTATGGACAGAATTTCTCGGTGCAGCCAGGAGGTGGAGGGAGTCCGGTTCGGTGGCCTCAGGATTCCTTCTCTGCTATTTATTTGCAGATGATGTGATCTTGTTTGGTGTCATCGTGCCGTGATCTTCAGCTCTCACTGGAGCGGTTCGCAGCAGAGTGTGAAATGGCTGGGATGAGAATCAGCACCTCCAAATCTGAGGCCATGGTCCTCGGTAAGAAAAGGGTGGGTTGCTCTCTTTGGGTCGAGGGTGAAGTTCTGCCTCAAGTGTTCAAGTATCTTGGAGTTTCAAGTTCAAGTTGTGTTTATTTGTCATATGCATGTTAACACAAGGTTAACAGTACAACAAAATGTTCAGGATGAGAAGAACCCACGTGACTCGCAAAAAAATAAAGAATAAACAAACAAGAATATACTAAAGCATGCAATAAGTGTACAAAAATAAAGTACCAAAAAGTTAAGATTAAAGTACAATATTTACAAGGTCCTAAAGAGAAATAGTGAAAACAACATGGTAGAATTTTAACGGTGCAAGTAGGATGAATTTGCATGAATAAGTATTTCAAGGAAGTAATATAAGGTAAGTTAAAATGCACAATATATATTGCAAATAACTAACATACACAAGTAGTGTGACAGGTTGTTGTAGTGAGTGACTATGAGATTGAATTTTGATGGTAAGAATGGGAAGATGGTGGTTTTGTTCAAAAGTGAGGGACGAACAGAGCGTGAGATTGACAAGACAGATTGGTGCAGCTTCTTCAGTATTGCAGACTCTGTGCCGGTCCGTTGTGGTGAAGAGAGAGCTGAGCTGTAAGGCAAAGCTCTCTGTTTACCGGTCGGTCTACGTTCCTACCCTCACCTATGGTCATGAGCTCTGGTAAGGATGCTCTTTGAGCACCTCCCTAGGGAGCTGCTTGGGGCATGTCCGACTGGGAGGAAACTCCGGGGAAGACCCAGGACACGTTGCAGAGACTACGTCTCTCGGTTGGCTTGGGAACACCTTCGGTTCCTCCCAGAACAGCTGGAAAGAGCTGTCTGGACCTCCCTGCTCAAGCTGCTGCCCCTGCGACCCAACTTCGGAATAAGCAGCCCCTAGAAGAACTTATGTAAAAAAAAGAAACAAGCTTCTTGCTGCATCTTCATTTTCCTACTTGGTAATTGATTAGGTGTGCACAGGAACAGTTGACTGCTGATTTATTTATTAATTGCTAATATCGACCAATGAACTATCTACCTATATCGCCTACTATTATTCTAGTGCTTTGACACAAAACACAGCCGTTTGGTATTTATGTTGGCTAAACTGTTATTACAACAATGCAATCAGCAATACAATTAATATGAAATGCACATGGTTTTGTTGAGTTGCATGATGACTTTTAAATAGTTTATAATAATGAGTTGCACAGAGTTGTCGTTTTCTGAAATCAAATATTCACCTAAACTCATTTCTCCACTCTGCTCTGCAGATTAATCATGGATGTGAATAAGAAATGACAAATATCTAGAAGTAGAACTATTAACCATTATCTCCTGGTGACGTCTTGGTGTTTGTTAAACCAGCTGATGCAAAAAACAGCCAGGCTGCGTTTAACCTGGATTACAGTCTGCTCTGCTCGTGCGTGTGTGCAAGTGTGTGCATGTGTGTGTTTTACCATGCAGGCTGTGCTCCAAATGTCAGCTGGCGTGCTGTAGCCGGCTCCGATCAGAACCTCAAGAGAACGGTATTGCCGTGTCTGGATGTCATCTGTGAAGTGTTTGTTCTGCACAAATACCAGAAAAAAATACACATAAAAAATATATGTTTAAATCCAATAATGGTTTAAAAATTATAAAAATTAAAACAAAAAAAAACCTTTTCACTGTATAAGTTGCACCTTTTGCATAAATTAGCATGCCCTTCCACTTATACTGCGAAGCAACTTGTGTTTTTTCCCATATTTATAAACCGATCTTTAGCTGAGATCTGACGATTTCATTCATTCGGACGTGGAAAATATTGAACACTACCATTTTCAGCCGCTCAAGAAATATATAAGCCAAGTGTCTCATTAATAGGTAAAAGTGGCTATTAATGAGACACTTGGCTTGCCATACAGACCACCTTCGTCTCACTTTGGAACTCCTGGAGCAAACGTCAAATCTGCTGCATTTCGCCGCCCCGGTGAAATGCAGCAGATTTGACCATTAAAGTGCATTTTTTAAGGAAAAGCTCAACTGAGACACACCTTTACCATAATTTCGAGCAAACAAATAATTGTTTTCAAGTGTTAATCTTGTTAAATTATTGTTAAAGTCCTCCCGTGCATGATCCTGCGGCCGCTATTTGGCAGCCAATCGATTTTTGGCACAACACCGGCCCGTATTTTCGGGTGGTCAGCGGTGACGCGTAATAGATGCAACTTATACGGCGAAGCAAAGTACTTATGCTTTTTTTATCCACTTTATTAGACATATTTGGACTGATGCGACTCGTACGGCGGCAAGTACGGTATAAATATTCCTGTTTGTAAGAAAAATAATAATTCCAAACGTGGACAAATGGAGCAAAATATCCTGAACAAAATATAAACAGCACTTTAGTTTTTTCTCCCATTTTTCATGAGCTGAACTCAAAGACCTAAGACTTTCTATGTCCACAACAGGCCCTATTCTCTCAAATATTGTTCACAAATTAGTGTTAGTGAGAACTTCTTTACCGAGATAATCCCTCCACCTCACAGGTGTGGTGTATCAAGATGCTGAGTAGACAGCATGAATGTTGCACTGGTTAGGCTGGCCACAATAAAAGGCTGCCAGTACTCGAAAATGTGCAGTTTTTTCAAAGAGCACATCGTGACGGATGTTTTGAGGGCGCGTGCAGTTGGCATGCTGACTGCAGCAATGTCCACCAGAGATGTCCACCAGAGATGTTGCCGGTGAAGTGAATGTTCATTCATCTACCATAAGCCGTCTCCAAAGGAGTTTCAGAGAATTTGGCAGTACATCCACCACAGACCACGTGTAACCACACCAGCCCAGGACCTCCACATCCAGCATCTTCACTTCCAAGATCGTCTGAGACCATCCGCCCAGACAGATGCTGCAACAATCGGTTTGCATAACCAAAGAATTTCTGCACAAACTGTCAGAAACCATGACAGGGAAGCTCATCTGCCTGCTCGTCGTCCTCATCGGGGTCTGCACCCGACTACAGTTCATGGCATATGGCACAATGAAGAGGTGATCTCCTCATAAATTAATCCCACTTTTCACTGTACAAGACAGATGGTAGTATGGCGTCGTGTGGGTGAACGGTTTGCTGATGTCAGCGTTGTGAATTGAGTGGCCCATGGTGGCGGTGGGGTTATGGTACGGACAGGTGAATGTTATGGACAACGAACACAGGTGCATTTTCTTGATGGCATTGTGAATGCAGATACCGTGACAACACCCTGAGGCCCATTGTTTTGCCATTCACGCAGAACCATCCTCATATTGCAGCATACAAACTACTCACTCCCTCAAAACTTGTGACATCTGTGGCATTGTGCGGTGATAAAACTGCACGCGTTAGAGTGGCCTTTTACTGTGGCCAGTCTAAGGCACACCTGTGCAATAATCATGCCGTCTAATCAGCATGTTGATATGTCTCACCTGTGAGATTATCTCTGCAAAGGAGAATAGAATACACAGTTTAATTCATCCTCAGTGAGGAAATTAAATTATCACAGCAGCAGGAACAGCATGGAGCAAAAACAGGTGCTAAAACAGCACAGTTCAGAAACTGGTGCAAACAAACAGCATGATGACATAGTGCGAGAACACTACACTGTCCACAAACACTGTAAACTGGTGCAAAAACCACAGATATCAATAGAAATACAGTTAATAGGTTATCACGTCATGAGGCAGATAAAGTGAGTAATTTAACCACAGTTGGCAGGAAAGATTTCTAGTATTGCTCTTTTGAACAGGGGTTGGTGTAGTTTGTTTTTGCCAAAGCTGCTTTTCAGATTGTCTACAGTTTTGTGGGGGGGTGGGAGTCGTTGTCCAAGTGTTTGCCAACACAGATTTACACAAATTTGTGAAAATTATTTGAGAGAAAAAGGGCCTATTGTTAGGCGGCGGCCTGTCACGACAACAAATTTTGCTGAGCGATTAATTGTTTCAAAAATTATTGCGATAAACGATAATGTTGCTTGAAATTTGACAATTCAATTCAAAAATACTTCAATAATTACTAATTATTGTCAAATTTAAGAAGAAATGTTGGTTAATTTCTTTTGAGTGTAGTACCTTTTTCTGACCACCGGATGGCAGTATAAGACTGTTTGAACCGAAGGATGGATAGTGAGGGAGCAAGCAGCGTGTCTCTTTAAGAAAAATGGGAGGGAGGCCCCTTGACATGACATGAGCTGTCTCTCTTCCTTTTTTTGGTTCTCAAAATAGCGGACGCTCGGTGTAGTTTCAGCTCTTTAGCATAGCATTTGTCACACAAAGCTTTTAATAAAAAAATCAGTAAACAAGTTCTCAGCTTCTTTTTGCAGAGGAAAAACAACTTTTTACACGAAGGCACGGGTTTCAACCGTGAATTCTGGAGCTTCGACAAGATGGAGGATTTTTCCACCAGGTCGGCCTGCTAGCTTAATTCGTAGCTTAGCTTCTCAGCTTAGCTGCTTTAATGATCCAAAAGCATGATTTAAGATGGTTAAAACAGATTTTAAAGAGAAAAGAGAAAGGGCGGGTCAGTGCAGACACCGGAGTTGAGCCTGTTGTCGTCCAGTGTCTTCAGTAGAAAGAGACATCATGAAATGATAAAGCCAATAAATGAAAAATGAGGTCGATAATTTTAATTTATCATGCGATTAATTGATTTATTGTTTATCGTGACAGGCCTACATATTGTGAACTATGAGAAAGTCTTGCATCTGAGTTCAGCTCATGACAAATGCAAAAACAAAAGTGTTGCATTTATATTTTTGTTCAGTGTAGATTCATCACTTTTAGACCGTCAAATAAAAATAAAAATAAACTGTTATTGGTTGCATAAGGGCAAAATAAAAATGGATGTGGGCCACATTTGCCTCGGGTGTGAATGTAGCTGAAAGCAGTAAATAGTTCTGCTTGGTTTGTGTTTTTACTCACCACCCAGCAGGCGTTACCAAGGTCAGCGATCTTAACCTGCAGCTTGTCAGCATTCAGAGGATCCAGAGGGTTGACCAACATACTGCCTGCTGAATCTGGGCAACAGAGAAGACAGGAAGTCATCTTCAGCTCCCTCTGCCACACTAAACCTGCTGAGATGTGTTTACAGTGTGCAGCAGAAAGTCAAGTTAAAACAGTCGGTGAATGATCTTAGTGAAGTGCTGGAGTGAAAAATAGAAAATGATGCATCCATATGCAGCAGCACGACTACCACAACCTCTGTTCTGACAAAGGCCCACTCAGCGTGAGCTTTGTGTGAAAACCAGCCAGCCCACACATCGTGAAAGATCTGCTCAAGCTCAACAGCTTTCCACTTCCTCGGTGCAATTCATGTTGCATGAAGCTCAATCTGATTCCCAAACGCTGAACAACCGTTTGAACCGTTTTGTTAGATATGAACTCAAGTCGTTTCTGACTTTTCAAATATACTATAAGACTTCTATGTTTAAGCTGAAATATTGCAGTAATTCCATAAACGCAAAACAGCCAGACGTGTCTATATAAACAGCAAGTCCGGTAGTGAACTCTAAACCAGGACTCCCAGCATTTCGTGAAAACAAATTCCCTGGGTTATCCCAGGGGAAAGAAACCCTGGAATTCCAGGAGATGTTTCAGTCACACGTGACCCTCAGAACTTCACATCTTAGGTGGAGGCAAAGGATTTACTGTAGAAGTCAATCGTTTATGAAAGGGGTTACAAATTGGTGTCATTTTATTCCATTCCTGATAATTATTTATAATTGTATAACATCCGTCCATCAAGCTTTACTCAATTCTTCCTTTTTGGGTCGCGGGGGTCACTGGGGTCCATATCTAGCAGTCACTGTGCGAGAAGCGGGGGACAACCCTGGACAGGTGTCCAGTCCATCACAGGGACACGGAGACAAACAACCATTCACTCTCTCACTCACATCTAGGGACAATTTAGAGTTACCAATCAGCCTAACATGCATGTTTTTGGTCTGTGGAAACTGGAGTACCCAGAGAACACCCACACATGCACGGAGAACATGTAAACTCCACCCAGAAAGGCCCCTGGACTGGGATCTGAACCAGGGACCTGCTCGCTGAGAGGCAGCAGCTCTACCAACGGTGCCATCATTAACATCAGATACTAAAAATATATATGTACTATGTAGAAGCAAAACACGGCCTCGATGATACTAGAATACTAGCACTATTACCTGCACATATCAAAATCTCAAAGATGATCTTTTAATCAGCAGATCGGTGATCTAAATTCAAAAAGTTCTACGGATCACAGACCAAATTCACAGTTTTCCCTGTCTGGAAAAACATTTATTCTGTACGAACCACTCTGGCTGTCCTCTTCTTCATTCCCTCTTTTGGTGTCCTCTTGAGGGTCCATGTTCTCGGTCGTCTTTGACTCCGTTTCTTCCTCATTTCGCTCCACAGTGTCCTCTGAGCTGAGGGGCGAGGGGACTGGGTCTGGGTCTCCACATGATGTTTTACAGCTCTCCTCTTCTTTGTTGTATAATGTATCCGGAGTCTCTGTGTTGTTTTCTGGTTGGTTTGCATTCTGTTGGTCCTCCAGCTCTTCTGCAGACTGCTTGGTTTCTTCTTCCCCTGGACTGGTGTTGCTCTCTGGTGAGGACGCGTGGCCATTGCAGTTGATTTCCATTCTGTTCTGCTCTTCAGCCGCCACCTCTTCAGGTTCTTTCAGCTGAGGCATCGGTCGGGGCTGCTCATCGGGAGTCGAGTCTGTGACATAAAGAGGCTCAATTATTCTCATAGTTTCATTATTTCCAATTAAGGATTGTTGTTCTTAAATGTTGACCAATCAACAATTACTATACCCCAGTTTTAGAGTTCTGCACAGTTCTGCTGTCCGCCTCTTTCAATTCAGACTTTTTAAATCTCCATGAAATAAATGTTCAAGGGGTTTATTTAAGGTTTCAGGTTTAGGAGACTGATAACCATACAGATAATTTATTTATTGTATTTTTGGTATGTGTGAGAATATCTTGGACAATGAAAGAAAAACTAAATTAAATCAATGAAAGATCTGATTTAGGACCAGGATCTACTCGTTCACCTGTGCTGGTGTGATTAGCAGAGTCCTGCGGTGTAGCAGAAATGGGGAGGGTGGCTGAGGAAGACGTATCTTCATTGGCCTCTGTCTCCTCATCATCTTCTTCCTCTCCACCATCAGGCAGAGCGCCTCCTTCAATCTCCTGAATCCTCTTCTCCAGCAGCTCTGCCTGCTTCTTTTGCTTCTTCTTCATCTTCTTCTTTTTGTTCTTTGACATTTTGCCCGTCTAAAAAAAGCATGAAGAAATGTATGCATTAGAACTTAATTAATAAAATATTTAAATTCAAAGATTTGATTAGAAAAAAAAACTATACTTACAGGTTTGGGTGCTGGGGCTGTACTCACTGCAGGAAACAGGAAACAAATGGTTACAAAGTTGAATGACATGCAGCACATCCTCTGCCTGCCTCTCTATAATCAGCACTTTGTTATGGTGGCTAAATTTACTCCAAGCTTTACTAACGAACTGTCTCTTCAGAAGCAGCGCTCTCAATGGGAGTTGCACACATTCCTCCAGGCGAGCTGGAAACAGCCGCGACTCAAAGTGACACACGGAGGCCTCTCGCTTTGATTAGAAAAAGATTGGAAGTCAAAACCCTCAAATTTCTAAACACTTAACTTACATGCAGTGCTTGGGATTGTATCACAGAACTGGAAGATCTATTTTTATTCTGAATGGAAGTCTAGTTTGTGTCCTTGTCTATACATAAATTTAAAACAAGCTCCAAATACAAACATCAAATCAAAATTTCTCTTAGGCCATGTTCACACTTCCCTACAATGATAGAAAAGTCAGATGAAATGCAACATGACTGTTCAGAATGAGGTCGATATGGTAAATGGACTGTACTTATACAGCGCCTTTCTATCTTATTTCAAGATACTCAAAACACTTTAAACAATCTGTGTCTCATTTACCCGTTCATACAGTTCTATACTAGATCTCTACAAAGCTAATTGAACAAATCATTCTAAAGAGACTAATCAGTGCTTTATCACATTCATACACTGATGGGACACACATCGGAGGCAGTGAGGGGTTCAATGTCTTGCCCAGGGACACTTGGACATGTGACTGCTGGTGGATTTGAACCCCCAACTCTTGTGTTGGAGGACGACTGCTCTAACCACTCAGCCACAGCCGCCCATCGATGTGGAAACATCAGATATGTATCAAATTTAAAACCACACATAAAAGTAACCTGGGTAAAATAATTAGCCTGGGTTTTCTCCGGGTGCTCCGGTTTCCTCCCACAGACCAAAAACATGCATGTTAGGCTGATTGGTAACTCTAAATTGTCCCTAGGTGTGAGTGAGAGAGTGAATGTTTGTTTGTCTCGTTTGTCTCTATGTGTTCCTGTGATAGACTTGCGACCCGTCCAGGGTGTACCCCGCCCCTCGCACAGTGATTGCTGGACATGGGCGCCAGTGACCCCCGTGACCCAAAATGGAATAAGCGGGTAAAGAAAATGGATGGATGGATGGATCTGTGATCTCAGTGAGATCTGTCTGGTTAAATAAAGGTTAATAATAAATAAATTAGCCTGATTTGTGACATTTGAACGGTCAGATATAAATCACATGTGTAGTAAAATAATAAAAATAATCATTAGGTCACTGCAGCCTGCAACGTGAATGTAGCCTGACCGTGAACATGAAACAAATCAACATTTTTGTGAGGAAGCACAGAGTGAGCAGTTGTTACCTGCCGATCCAGAGGGAGGTGGAGCACCAGACTTCTGCCACTGAGTAGCTTCGGCAGCCATCTTCTTAATGTACGGCTCGTTGACAGTCAGCAGAATGTTTTCTGGTTTAACGTCTGTATGAATAATCTTACACTTGGTGTGAAGGTAGTCCAGGCCCTGCAGAACCTGAAGGGAGGCACATTCAGTTCTAATTTAAGTTGCTCTCTATGATAACAGTGAAGTGTATTCTTTTTATTCAAGGTTTTATACACTTGAATGAGGCGGATTTGTTGAATAAATTGCCCGCTTTGTAACAAATAACCGTCTTTCTCTTAAAACTTTATATGTTTTTGTGATGCAGTACACTACCTGTCTTATGATGCTTTTCACACAAGGTAGAGGCAGGCCTTGATAATTTGATTTAATAATCCACTTCAGGAGGTGGTAGCCCAGTACCTCAAAGACCATACACACATCTGAAGAAATGCAAGTCAAGAAACCCTGATCACATTAACAGCTGCCATTAAAAACACTATGTGGCACATTTCTGAATCAGTGAAATATTTATATCTATATATATATATATATATACATGTATAACAGCAACAAGATCAAATGTGTAACATTGCTTAAATTTTTTTTTTTCACAACAGAGGATACGAGTTCCATTCACGCCAGAAATTTTGAAGTCATCCAGCAGCTGCACCACTTTCTCCCTATTGGGATCTTTGGGATCCGTGTTTCTCACCTGTAAAACACAAAGTGGTCATTACAGACGGAATATGATGGTTTTACGAGCTAATGTGAAAATGTTTTTGTGTGCGCGCTTTACAGATTTGAGCAGCTTGATTTCATCCAGAGCCGTCTCCGTATAATGTTCAGCACTTTTCACAACCTTCATGGCCACGAAGCGACGCTCCCTGGAAGTGACAAAAACAACAGCCACAGAGCACAGCACAACCACGTGGGTTAGTTTAAAATATGTAACAAATCATTTTAAATCAGAGTAACATTCAAACTTAAAGAAGCAGATTTAACAGCATATTTTCCCTACAAGCAGCCATCTTGAAAAGACACTGGCTTCTGAGAACTTATTTGTCCCACATACTCCATATAACCATCACTAAATTATTATTTTGTTATGTGCACCAGCTCCTTTACACCTTAATCTCAAACCAACAGGAATAATTTCTCAGCTGCCAAATGTCAAAGAGTAAACAATGCGGTTCATAAACATGCAGCAGCATGGGTAAATTTCAGGCGCATTCTGCCGTTTATTTTTTTACTTCTGCATGCACATAGTCACAACAAAAAAGGTTAAATCATGTCATTTGGACCAGTACAAATTTCAGCTGGATGTAAGCTGAGGAGCCATCTTACTGGATGTCCCAGGCCAGCCACACGGTGGAGAAATGACCCCAGCCCAGCTTCCGAATCACATGGTACCTCCCACTGAACAAGTCGCCAATCTTCACGTGATGATATCCACCTGATCAAAGACGTAATAAACAGGCACAGAGTGGCAGCGACGCGCGTTATTACTAAATCAGTGCTTTTGTGTAATTATATGAAGCTGAATCGTTGTAGGTTTTCAGCTGAAACACAATCTATACTAACATCGAGGGCTTGACTGAACTTTCTAAAGTCAATCAAAATTTACTCCCCCCTCAGTTCTGAGGCAAACTGTACTCATTGTTTAACTCTGGCACAAAAAGGTTTCAAAGCAGTAAATAAGAGGTGCATATGGGAGAAAAGGAAGAGATTGGGTGTGAGAGTAAGGCTGATTGGTGCCTGGACTAAAACAGAAACAGAAAAACATATTAGACATAGGTGACTCCTCTCAGTTAGAGAACTTCTCCTTTCAGAAATGTCTGAAGCAGATGCTCAATTTGGAAAAAAATTACAACAAAACTAAAAAGTCCACACACTGGTTCAGCAGCACAATCGAAATAAGCATACATTTATAAACGATGGGACGTGCGCATCTATTGAAGAACTGGTGATCCTGCCAGAGTAATGCACCTTGTAAGGTTGTCGACACACTACTACACAAGCAATATGCAACAGCCTGGACAAGCAAAGACCTCGTATAAACCTGACCTTTATTTGTGACCTTGACCTTGGAACTGGAGTGATTAAAAAATTATGTGACATGCCGTCTTAGTGGTGGTATAAATTCAAATTATCTTGAACGAATCAGAAGTTATGACTCCAACAAGAGACAGTTTACAGATGTACGGGCGGACACTTTACCAGAATACGTCTCTCTTTTGATGAGTGTATAATAGTAAAAAGTATATGTATTATTTGGATTGCATCTCTGGTCAGGCACTGTACGTGATGTCTGAAGCGCTTTAGAGATCCTACCCCTGCAATAATCATTGGGATCTTCCTGCTCGTCGTCGTCGGAGCCCAGGATCTCCTCGTCCTGCTCTGGAAGGGGAGACTCTGCTTGACCCTGCTGAGTGGCAACTCCACGACCATGAGGCTCTGGTCTGGGTGAAGAACAGACACACACAGATGAGACTGATGAAGAGGAGAAGAGACGTGAAAGTATTGCTCATATGTGATTGGAAATTACACGACTATTTGTAATACTTTTTTGATGACGAATCCCATTTAGTTCTAATGGACAGGAATGAAGTAACATGAAGATATTTTTCAAAGCAGCGAAGAGAAAATATTTGTGAGAATATTCACTAAAAGGTAAATAAATTGTTATATTTACAAACGCTTTGTGCATCACTGAAAATGTCCAGAAGAACAGGTGTCGTGAGTCTGCAGCTCAGACTTTCTTTACATACAAAGTAGGAAAGGGAGGAGTGGGACTGCATACTCAATGAGAGGACACACACACACACACACACACACACACACACACTGCTTTACAGGGAAGACAGGTTATCTGAAGCATCAGACTGTACCGACACAAACTGCATCTAAATGTATGTTGTTTTATTAAACAATCTGGACACACACCAGCTGTCAGCCGACACAGCTCATCCATGAAAAAAGTTGTCTTCTTATGCATCATACTCAGACCACCTGCTATTTTCAGAACCTTAGTTTAATATTTTAACAGACACAAAAAAAGACAACTCTAATTAACATACTATCTCCGCTATGAAACATAACCGTATAAACCTAAAAGTAGGTTGAAAGGCACTAAATAAGCTTTATTGATCCAGCTTTAAATATCACAGTGCCGCGCTGCTGGCAAGCAACAGTCCCTGCAAGTCTCAGACTGTTTGGACAACTGGCACAAACATCTTCAAAGCCTCATTCATATATATATATATATATATATGTGCATCTTGCCGTTTTTCACGGGGGTTACGTTCCAAAAAGAACCCGTGATAGGCGAAATCCGTGAAGTAGTAACCTTTATTTTTTTTTTACAATTATTATACAATGAAATACTCCATAATACATTCAAACCAAAGAACAAAACCTTTATTACAGGCCCAAGCATTTGTTTAACGAAGTACTGTATAAACGTTTTGTACAAATAACTACTGCACTGGAGAGACTCTTTAGCCAATCAGAATGCAGAACACAACGCACGATGTAAATCTGTGAAGCAGCGAGACCGTGAAAGGTGAACCGCGTTGTAGCGAGGGTTCACTCTATATTTACAATTTAAAGAACACCTTAACAAAAGTTTCCTTTGATAGTTGAGAAATAAGAAATTGATGCTTATGAATGTTAAATACTTACATATGTTCTTATAAAGTAAGACTGTTATTTAGAAAAATTTCTTGTTCAAAATTAGAGTTGCATTCGGGTCTAAAAAAAGTCTGACCCGGCCCGGCCCTAGCCTATAGACATTTTTTCCAAGCCCAACCCGACTAATTGATTGCAATTACAGGCCAGAACCTGAAAAAAAATAATAAAAAAATAAATAATAATAAAAATAAAATAATAATAACAATAATAATTACAATAGGCCTTCGCAGCGCTTTGCTGCTCGGGCCTAATAACAATAATAATAAATATATATATTATTAAGCTTTTACTGCTTCTGTAAGCAAATCAGTTTGACATGATATTTTAAAAATGTATTTCAAAGAAAGGAAGATATAAGACTTCTTGTTTATTAACAAGTCTCCACATGGATGTTAACATACAAAAAGAATAGCCTAAAAAAATCAACTCTAAAGACAGGTTATTATAAAGATGAACAACAATAGTTTTAGAGCAAATTTGGAAAAATATAGAACAAATCTATTTTAACTGAACCCTTCAGCTTTTGTGGCTTTAGATGCTGCAACTTCCTTCATCGCAGAGGACAGCAGGGAGCGGAGCGGAACGCGCGCGGCCGATGATCCGGTTGTCCATCTGAAGCTTAAAGCGACTTTTAAAAAACTCTTTCAACCGGCCGGTCAGCGAACGCGCACAGCCGATGATCCGGTTGTCCATGTGAAGCTCAACGCAACTTTTTTTTAAAACCTCTTTCAACCGGTCGGTTGGACCAGAACATGCAGCTGACACACATCAGCAGGTTTCACTGTGCTGGCTTTGTAGAGTGAGTTCTCCCATTTTTAACCTTTGTTTAATACTTTCCAGCTCCATTATGCCGCTTGTTGAGGGTCAAATGCAAATCCTCAGATGTGTGATAAGAGCAAAGGGCGGGTGGGGCTACACGCACAATTAAAAGTAAACCGTATCAAAAGCCCGAGCCCGACCGGACCTGAATTTCGGGCTAAAAATCGCAGCTCTATTCAAAATACTAATCACCACAGAATGTTAAAACCAGGCAACATAAACAACAACAGTCTAATCTATTAATAAAAAGCATTCTTGAGATTAAAAATTTTGAAATTTTACTTGGGGGGTGTAAAAATAAACAACTGAAGCAAGTGAAACCTGTAGTCTGGACCGTGAGAGCTTACTGTATATTTTAAAGCCTAAATCTTATTTTAAATTAGGTTTTCTTTCAGAAAAACAAACCACTGAGCATACAATACATTTGATTCTCCCACTCACACCTGTAAGGACATAATAAGCACCAACAACCATCCAGGGTTATCCTAATAAGTTAAAGGCAGCTAAATGTTTACATTTTATTTCTGAAGACATTTTGCTTCTCAACAGAGCTTTATTAACTGAGAAAGGAAGTAAAATGTCTTCAAAATTCAAAAGAAGTCTGGTTACCTCGATTACACATCAGTCACCGAGCGCAGATTGATCAATCGCTGCTACAAAGTTGTGAAAAATAAAAATATGTCCAATATCTTATGAAACTTAACAGGAATTCATAAGTGAAGATCTGATTTTCTGACTTCTGATGTTAGCTAGCCCCCCTGAGTGCGTAGGAGAGGTGTTTTTGTACTTGAGAAAGATGGTGCAACTAGCCAAGAAGGAACGAAGAACACGGCACTTTTCTGAAGTGATGGGACCATTTTGAAAAAAACATCATGCTCTACATGAGAAGAATTCGTTTCACCCAGAGATTTATTATCATTATGCATAAAAAAATGGTCAAAAACTTACTCTTTAAAAAGGACCAAGACAGATGTTTTTTTAAAAAGGGGCAACCGTTCCAAAAGAAAACAACACGAGGGGGAAACGAGTGGAGTCAATGTGCTGATTAAACAACAAAACAACAAATGTTCATGTCAGATTAATTAAGTCTTACGTTTGATGGCATAACAACAAATAACTGTGCATTCAAAGCCATGTGTGAGACTTTATTTTTCTCTACTGCAGTCAAGTGGACAGAGTGCAATGCCCTTTAATTATAAAACATACATGAGGGATACTTCAAGGACTTCTGCAACACTAAGGACACTTGGACCTGTCTTGTCTGTGGTTGCATAGACAGGATGTGCCCCCTGCCATCCTTCAAACCACCACACAACACACATCCTACCTGCAAGATGCACGGATGCCCATGGGACGTGAGGCAGAGAGGAGGAGCGAGGAGTGCAGGTGCTGAAAGAGCACCTTACCCCATCCACCAGAAGAATAAAGGTTCAGAGGCAGGAGCACAACACAGGGAGTGAAGAGTAGAGGGGGGGAGGCAAAAGCAATCAGTGCTGATGACCACAAAGGCAAGCAAGCTGAGAAAATGGGAGAGAGGCTGAAACTGAGGCGCGTGGAGAGGAGATATGCTGAGAATGTGCTGCAGGCTGAGTCCTGACTGCAGGAATCCGCTGCACACTCGCCGATTCTTGCTCACATTTACCTCCCTCGCACACACACGCCGTCTCTCCGTCCGACCGAGAACTCTCCTTGGCTGTCGTCAGCCTCTGGCCCAGCCCCCATCACCGACAGCTGCAAAATGATTGGGGGGCAGAGCCCAACACTGCATTGCAGGTGAGGTGCGACACCAGCTTCCCTCTCCCGCCCCACCAGAAAGTCCTCGTTTGATCAAAACATCAGATCATTCTTCTCTCCTTACAGTCTGTCCATGATCCACACCATCTTATCATCACTGCCGTGTTTTGCCCGTTTTAATAAAAAAGCTACAAGTTCAATTTATTTTGCAAACATCAAACCCCAAGATTCTTTAACAAACTTAAAACGAAGCAGCATTAAACTGAGGGTTTCTTTCCCAACTATTATTTCTCACAAGATCAATCCTAGATACAAATAAATTAAATCACTCGTTATCATAATCAAACATTAGCAATTCTAAAAGTTGGTGAGTTATATTGTTTTCCCCAGACTGTATATAAATAAAATGACCACCAGAGATCTGCGCCCAAATGTTAAGACTTATTAAAGCTTTTCTCTGATAGGTTTACTGCTGCTCCTTCTAAAGAATATGTTCATCAAGTTTAGGTTCTTAGAGAAACTTGATGTTTCAAGTATCACACCATGCCACCCCACTTCATAAAAAACCCTGATATTTGTACTTGATTTTTGCCTATGATTTTACCATGACTATGTACCAACAGAGGCATATTTACGAGTGTAAATAATGTCGTCAGCTTGATGTCACTTTGTAAGGAACGTATTTCTGCTTTCATCAAATTATACAACAAGTCTGTCTAAAAACCAAGTGCACATCAAAGTAGTAGCATAAAAAATGGTGTTTTGATATTATTTGCATCAACGAGGTTCAAAAATGCATTAACATAAAAAAATGCATGCAATACTCATTGGCTTTTGTGTTTGTTGAAAATATCGGAGGTTAGACTTCTCACTTAGAATTATAAGTATTTTTAGACACTGAAGAAAAAAGCTGTCTGTAAATAACTCGCTTTTTAATAAATTAACAAGCTTTAAAAAGACTCGTGATTTGTATCTGCTACCAAAGATCTGTGGACTGGCACTTAAAAGTCTTAAATGAGACATCTTAAAAGTAAACAGTAACCAACACGTCACCAATATTTACCAGCACACACACGCTCGTAAAACATCAATCAATGTGAAGAAGGCGAAGGAGATGGTCGTGGACTTCAGAAGGAACAAACACACCTACCCCCCACCCCCCGAACATAGGAGGATCTGCGGTGGAGGTGGTCTCCAGCTACAAGTACGTGGGTGTGCACCTGAACAACAACCTCAGCTGGAGCAACAACACCACCAGCCTGATCAAGAAAGCTCATCAGAGACTCTACTTCCTCAGACGGCTGAGGCGAGCTGGTCTGGAAGCTCAGTCCTCACCTCCTTCTACAGGTGTGCAGTGGAGAGCATCCTGTGCTCCAGCATCAACGTGTGGCATGGAGGCTGCACAGCTGCAGAAAGAAAAGCTTTGCAGAGAGTGGTGAAGGCTGCACAGAAGATGTTGGAGTCAGTCTCCCCACCATCACAGACATCTACACCTCCAGATGCAGGAAGAGGGACACCTGCATCATGAAGGACCACACTCACCCAGCACACACACTTTTTGCCCCACTCCCCTCAGGAAGGAGGTTGAGGAGCATTAAGTGCAGAACCACTAGACTGAGGAACAGCTTCTACCCTGAGGCTGTTAGACTCATGAATCTCTAACCAGAATAATCACTGTGAAAATCACATGTTGCTGCTGATCTGTTTCATGTTGCTGCTGATCTGTTTCATGTTGCTGCTGATCTGTTTCATGTTGCTGCTGATCTGTTTCATGTCGCTGTGTTCATTAATACTCATCTGTTCACACAGACACATGTTTGTGCTGCTGTTCGGCGTATTGTTTTGATGCTATTAGTGCTTGGCGTATTTTTAGTTTTTCTTAGTTCACATCTTAGATCTTATTCTTGTTTTTCTTTTACATTTTATTGTTGGATGGAACTGGGAGGAACCTGTGTACAAAATTTAACTTCACCACATGTACATACAGGGTGCACCACATGTGGTGCGCAAATAACAAATAAAGAAACTCTAAAAAAAACTGATATTTACCGGTACTCATTTTATTACAAAAAAAGGCCAATATACGAAACTCCTTGTGACTTGTCTCTGAACTGCAATCTGGGACACATTTTCCAAGAAGAACTGAACTCGACAGAACCACAACTCCTTGACAGGTCCATTGTTCCAGAAAGCATCTGACATGACATTGTGTGTCAGTAGTGCCCCCCTGTTTTCTCCTGGCTGTATCGTTTCCACCACTTCAGCCTCATCAGAAATAAACATGGACATATGATAAAACGAAGTTCCTGAGGATGGAGTCGGGCCAAAAATATTGTTGTTCCTGCTCCCCTCCCTCCAAATAAAATCAATGCAAAGTGCCTGAGCAGCAGAATAAAACAGCAGCACAAGGTAAATCCCATGAGGGTGCAATGCATGCAACGTGTAAATGAATTTAGTCCACTGGTTATTTTAGCACTTCAACACCTACTGAAGCCTCAACACATATTATGCTAGCTTTCCTTAATGTTAATCAATTTAACTTCCATGTTCTCAATACACTGAGTAATGCAAGTTGACTTAAAAAAAGGTTAACAAACCAGATTAATTTTCATACATTTCAAGCCAGGCAAAATAAAAGAAAACGATGAAGACAAACAACTACAGCATGACACTACCAAAGAGTTTTCTTAAGATGACAAACAATATCTGCATAAAAAGCTAAAACCCTAACTCCCCTTTACAAACAGCACATGTATTTTTACATTTCTATCACAGACGGTGGGGGGGGAGGGGTGGTTTTAAACCTGCAGTGTGAGGATATAGAACCGTAGAGAGCTGCAGATGATAAAAGAGTTGATGGGTTATGTAATGTACCACAGCTAAAGCCAGGAAAGAAACAAAGAGATGAACGCAAGTGACAACAGAGACCCAAGTCACTGGACTATAATCGCCAACAAAGACCATTACTACTTAATCTCTCTAGTATAACTGCAGCTCAAAATTACATTTGAAGCAACTAAAATGACAGAAACAAGTAATTATATAGATCTAAATGACTATTAATTTTAATTAGCAATAAAATCAAAATCAGTCCCTTCAAAACATGAACCACAAACGCACCAGACCTGTTCATCCAAACAAAACAGCATTCAGGTAGTCGGGTACCTAATAAAAAATACATGAACCCGTTAATAAGTCAGCCATGCACTGCGTAAACTGCAAAAAATAAAGCGCAACAACAAAAGCGCAGCTATCTTAACATCATTTTCTCTTCTTCTCAATACATGCACAAGAACTGCACTACTCACGTGCATGTTAGACCACTGGCAAGTTTCACTACAGCTGTATTGATGGAGAAGATCCAGTCCAAGAGCCACATGACATAAAGGATGTAAACTACAGTTTCTGGTTTTTAGAATAATAAATTTACCAAGATAAACTAAATTGTGTGAAGTTAAAGCCCTTTCAAAATCTAAAGCATCTGCTCAGGTCTGCACTCTCCTCCTCCGTCTCTCTTAAACGTACCGTGGCTGCTGCTGCGTCCCTCCCACCACAGCAGCAACAAAAGTGCGAGTGACAAGAAAGCGGGAGGGGAAGGAGCCTGAGAGTCAAAACCAGATTATATCAGGAACTGGTTCTGGTGCAGGCAAGTTGTGATGTCAGCCTAATGTACCGGTAGTTGCTGTTTATATCAGCATTGGAGATCTGGGCTACTCTCATAGCTGTCCTTCGTGTAAACAGCGGGCGTCACTACTGAGAAAGCACCACAATAGGCAGAACTGCCACATGAGCAGGAAGTGCATCCCTCATACACAAACAAGATGATTTATAGGCTGTTTGCCACATTTATGAGCTTTAGCATGACTCAGTTCTTAGGACTTCTGAAGCTGTGATGTACAGTAGATACACTTTTGTCAAACGGGCAATAGCAATTTGACAGTGCCAGGTTTCTCACTCTGCAACATGAATTGCAGTCTCTAGTTGTGCTGTATCATTGTATATTCTCACTGTTGACATATATCAAACTTGTTTGCTGTACTCAATCAGTCCAGATTTAGAGGCAAAGCCTTCAGAGAGCCACCAGGCTCCTGTCCTGTAGAACCAGCTCCCAGTTTGAGTGTGCGAGTTAACCCAGTTCAAGATGGCTACCACAGCTAATCAATATCAATCAAGACAAAAATAGCTAAATCTCTGTTAAAAAAAATCTGTTTAATGGTTTTAAAGCACTTAATATTGAATAAATTGTTCCGGTGCAGCATTTATTTTTAAAGATCTTAAAAATATGTATTGTCAATGAATGTATTGCTTTTTTTA